TTGCGCTTTGAAGTACCGCCCTCTACCTGGTCATTCATTTCTTCATTGTCGCCGCGGTTGTCATGGTAGTCGTCTGGACGTCCCAGCTGTGGCTCAAAATCGTGGAATGAGCCTGCCTCCGCCACTTGTGGTTCGTCGTCATCCAGTTCCAGTCGAAGGCGCTTAAGTGGTGGGATGGAATGCGTGGTGATCTCTCCGTCGTCTCGGAAGTGAAAGACATGATCCCTCGGAAGCTGTGATGGCGCTGCAGGCGCCGAAGGCACCCTGGTTGGTATAGCGGACGCTGTCCTGCTTGGTCGCCCTCGTGGACGCCGAGTAGCAGGAGGCGCAGCAGCAGCCGCAAAAGGAACACCCGCCGATGAGGGAAGCAAAGAATGGACATTAGACGCTGCTCCTGACGACGGCCCAGCCTGAGGAGCAATGTTACTTGCTCCAAATGCACCCATTTCGAAGTCCCGTCGCGCCTGCCATTCCTCGCTTGAGTGGCGGCGAGAATCCCAACTTGTAGCGACGCGCTGGCGACGGGTGCGGTTGTTGGAACGCGACATATGTTCGGCGAGTGGGGGGACTGTGACTTGGGGGGGCGAGACACACTTCTAGGGCAGACATTTCGGACCTAAACCCTTGGGAGGCGTACGGATACATCCGGGGACCGTTAGTAACGCACGGAACTTTTGGGTGTAAGAGAAGGAAGCAAAAGTCATCGGGCGATCGATCCAATCCCATTTGGGCCAAATCGGGTAAGAACATTCTTGGCGCTAATAACTATCTAGGGAAGTCTAGGGATCTAGTCCTCGTCGCGAAGGATCGGGCACGCATAAGCCTTTAACGCTACTTTCATCGCCAGCCAATCTTCACCCTCCAGCTCCAGGGCCGCCTTGACCTGCTGTCGATACGCTTGCCTCCCATGAAAATCTAGCGCGAGATTGATGAGGTCTTCCTGAGAGTATACACCCATTGTGAGGAAGGCCGTCTCTCTATGACTGAGATCCAAGTCACGTAAGAAATCTTTGACGGCACGGTGCAATCGCCGTGGATCAGCCGGTACAACGTAGTCCCCAGGACTTGCTTCTTTCGCGACGCCGGGCATGGATAGACCTGAGAATAAATATTTAGTGCGTCGCTTCAGACTGAAAAAGGTATCATACATACGTTGACCGGTAACATGAGCGCCTAGTAGATGCGACCGAGGCAAGGGACGTGCTTTGCGAAGTCTCGACTCAATGCGCCTACAAATCAGTCGGAAGGCAGATGTACGGTGACAAAAAATACTCACTTCTTCGTGGAGACAGGAGTCCATGGCGCTACTGAGGGAATCCGGCCTTTGACCACCTTGGCACGCTTGCTGACAGGTTCACCATCTTCGTCTTCTTCTGTCTTGGTGACTGGTTCTTCCTCTGAAGGCGTCGAAGGAGGGACCAAGGCGGATGATGAGACAGTAGTGGTGTCTGTGTCTGGCGGGTCGGCGTCGCTAATGCTGCGTCCCCGAAGGCGTTTTCTGTCTGCCTCGGCGCTCGAGGACATGAGAACGAGATGGAAGTCCGTAACCAAATAGGAAGTAACCCGGTGGAATTGTCAAACCAGCAAAGCGGGCCCTTACCCGCGTGGACTGCCCCAATTCTTTCCTCTAATCGGACGGCAAATCCCTCTTTGGGCTTAGGCACCCGTTATAACACGTCCTGCAGGCAACCAGAAATCTTCCCATCGAATGTCATCCCCCACAGATAATCGTCGCCGCCTGCAGCGATGGCTGGAGCATCAGCGCCAGCGGCCCCTGACGCTGCAGCGAGGCCCAAGCCCTGGTCAGTCTCATCGTTTGAGTATATGTATGATCCTTCTGAAATATTGCCGCCACCTAGAAACGCCGGACATTTACCGCGGAGAGCGCTACTTCTGGGGCAACACAGTTGCAGCCTTCTATAATGTCATTATGCAAAGGCCATTCACCCAAGTTCGAGTCACGAACGATGTGGCGTGCATGTTTGCCGCACACGCCTTGGATGGCAATTTCCGCCTGTCGAAAATGACGAAAACAGTGCAACCGACGCCAGTGGGAGATGAAGTAGTCGAGGAGTAGTTTTATTGTATGGTTTCAGTGCTACAATGTGTGCTTGCTGTCCTCTTGATACTGGAGTTTGCCGTCTCCGACGAGACCCCGAAGACGAGCACAAAATTCTGCATCGTTCGTCCCGCCCTGCTTGATAACGTCGTCCACCCATGTAAAAACATCGCGCAAGGGTTGGACTCTGGCCTCTTCATCTCGTAAATCCTTCATAAATCCGGAACGTTTGTGCGCCAAGGCACGTAAGTCGTCCATAATTGAGTCGATGAAGAACAGAAGACTGGCAAGGTCAAACCTAGCCTCTTCAAGCAGGCGGAAGCAGCCTTCGGCAGCCTTGAGAGCGCCATGGATCAGGAGCTGAGTCCAGGTCTGACCTGCCAGGCAGTCAGTGTAGATCAGAAAATTGCGGTATCCATTGGCAATGTTGGCGATATAGCCGTCAACCCTCAGCCGGAGGCGACGTCTGCGACATAGCAAAATATTAGGTACTCGCTCCTCCACAGTACATTGGAACTCACGGAGAGCTGGCGGCGATAGGCCGAAGAGATTTCGGAGAGGCTTTAAGGGGGGGAAGCCGAATGCGCTGACGCCTACATTTATGAGGGGTCGATGTCTTGCAAAAATGGCAAAGGACTACTAACCTATCATAGAAATAACCAGCGCGTGATATAGGCAGCCTTTCGCCGTCAATATAAAGCGCGCGTAGCTCATCGTTGATCCTGGTAGGGGGATTGCGGAACATGACCCAGTGGGGTCGCGCAGCAAGAGTCAAGTCACCTACGATGGAGCAGTACCGCAAAGAGACATAAGGGTCGATTCGTCCAATGGCCGGAAAGCTCCGAGCACTTCAACGCTAAAAAAACGACCTCAGGCTAGGATTCGAACCTACGTTTCCGTGGGACTGCCACGACGTGCTCGCCCACTACACCACTGTGGCTGAGATGGGAGCATCAGAAAGAGTGTAGGTGAGGCTAGTTACCATAAATGGCCGCAGGCCCAAATAAGCAGTCTAGGGAAAATAGGCGGACCAATTTCAGCGTTTATCAACTTATTCATGAAGAAGAAGCGCTTTAGAGCTGTTAGATCAATTGTGTTTAATGAAATAAAGTTTCCTACTGAGCGAAATAGCACAGGAATATGAGGTGGTCTCAAAACTGGCATTCTTGTCTAGGGGATTTGCGATCATGAAGGCAATCGACTTACGGTTAGAAGTGATCGACACTTCATGTTCCCGACTATCACTTTCACCCAACCGATCGAACCTATTTACGCCCAACTACGCGCCTTCGTCCCACTTACTTTTCATCTTGCGCATCTATGGTTGGCAAGAGCTTATATCAGTCAGACGAGGACCGACAATTCGCTCGGAGAGAGAGCAAAAACAAATATTGGCATACGTACGTATATCACTAGTAACCCTACTCAAGCGTTTACAAGGTCTTTTAGGCATAAGAACACGCTAAATAAGCGTGCGCGCGACCGCTACCACGCTAAGCGTGACTCGAATCAAGTGGACGGGCGAACAAAGGCGGGCAAAGCTGCGAAATACGAGACAGGGAGTGAATACATAGCAAGGTGCCGTGGAACAGTTTCTCAGTCGAATACCAGTCTAACTCTGGTGAAGCCTGCCAGAAGCAGTGAATGCGCGCAATTTGCGTAGGCGATTCCAGCGGCTGGATGCCCAGCTTATGGCTCATGTTAACAACAATCTCGCCGACTGGGCGCGCGGATGGTGTACTTTTGCAATGGACCACATCGAGGACCCAGACACCGGGAGTGACGGTCTTATCGCTGCCTGTACTCCCATACGTATATTCCTCGAGAAGGCAAACCAACTTGAACGTGATGTCCTTGAGACTGTAGGGGAGGGACCGGTCCTAGACTTAATTCAACGTCGTCTGCCCCGCTTCGTCTATGCTACAGAATCTATTATGGATATCAATTTGCAGCTTATTATGGGGAGTCTTCGAGAGAGTCGGGCGAACGGTACTTTGTATTATAGAGAGCATGCTGAGGATGTGGAATAAATGTGCGTGTTTCAAGTGCGAAATTTTACAACTACAGGAGCTTCCATTTTACTACCCGATGAGCAGCCATGGCAGAACGCCAGGCAGCGCGCGCCGTCGCGAGGGATTCGAAACTCTCCTGGCTGCCGCTGGGAACACCGAGGACACAATGAATGGCTTGGACACTAGGACCGGGACATCGTTAAACATCAGCATAATCGACAATCAGTGAATACGCACTAGTTGTTATAAATGCCGGGGTGAGTACCGACATAGACAACAAAGTATCCCTGGGACGTCGCGTGAGTGTGGATGGGGTTCGGCGCCAAGTATTCGTCTGCGCTGGTGGCAGTGTGTAAACCGACACGAGCAAATTGACGTCTCGCGACTTGCGAGCTAGGTTGAACCCAGGATTTGGTCATCGCGAATTCCAGAGCTTCTTGTCCACCGGAAACGGTCCGGAAGCCCAGGGAAATGCTGTGGGTCTGGCCCTGGACGTACTTTGCACATGCTGCCCTGTGGGAATATGATGAGCCGCCACACATGTTGGAGAAAATGGGAGGAACGTACCATCTGGTATAGAGGCCAGTGCGAGTTCCGACAAAGACGACATAGCAGGCAGGCTCTGCTCGCATCCGGCGGACTCTTTTCTGAACGGCTTTGACTTGAGCGCCGTCCTGGGATTGGCTCTCATGAGCCTTGGACCTAATCGTGGTTAGAAGATCATCGGGCAGGAGGGTTAGACAGAATAGAACTAACCAATCCGCGGTGTACGACGGCGTCTTGGTTGGACTGTTGATGCGGTAAAGGGTGCGATCTGTGGGCGATCGCAGGGACATGGAAGCCAACGCCTCAGCCAGATCGTCGTCCAAATATATCGATGCACTGGCAAGGCGAGGCGAGGCATTTCCGTCGTCGTCAGATGTGAGGACGATGACTGATGAATCGTCGTCGGATTCAGCCGTTGCGAACGACACAAGGGAAGAAGGAGGAACGGTGCTGCTGCTCATGATTGTGGTAGATAGGAAAGGACAGGTACGGCCTAATACATGAGGTACATAGCAATCACGGCGAAACCTCCGACGGCAAACGCCACCAGAAGCCATGACACTGTGGTCCGGCTGACGGTAATTACAATTTCCCTAGACAACGATCAATCAGAATGGAACAAATGAACAGGGAGCACAAAAACTCACGCGCGGTATTCACGAGGCACTCCAATGGCGACGCGGCCGGTCGCAAGAGCATCGTTGAAGTACTCCAGCGCAAGGCTAAGGGAGCCACGCTTGCAGGAGGAGCCATTGGGGACACCGGAAATTGAAGTACGAGCTTGTTCCCTAGACAATGATGAGCAAACGAAGGATACTGGCAGGATGAGTCTTACGGATCAAGGAAGATACCAACAGTACGGCCGACAAGGGTTGGGTAAAAGTTGACCTTCTTGTCATCGCTTCGCAGAGGGATCGGCGTAGGCTGAAGAGGCAACTCTGGCACCTTGGTGAATGCGACGCCGACACGGTATGGATATGTAGCGTCCTGCCACGCATGATCTGGAATGGCTGGGTCCTGAACATATTGGGGTGGGTACGCCACACTCTGCTGGGTGGAGATGTTGAAGGCATTCACTGTGAAGCAGCGAGTTAACGACTGTGGAATCTGACATGCCGGACATAACGCACGGGAAGCACTGCCAAAGTCATCCGGAATATCTTCCTGTTCGAACTCGCCGTCAGAGGACTCATCGGGGTAAATAACTATGGAGTTCGAGGTAGGCGGTAAAAAGGGTTGTGCGTGAATGGACAGGCGAGTCGAGGGGGTTGTCGCGGCAGCTGACGCGACAACTCCATCGTCCGCAGAGTCAGAGGACATGTCTATGCTAAGGTGAGTGGATGATGGCAAAGGACGAAGTAGAGATCGTGGCTGAACTTTTTTTCGCGATCTTCCGTGGAACCTTTCCAATTGCAACGATCAGAGATCTGCGAGTACGATCACTGTGCCCGTTATTACGGTCCAAGTCATTCCACCCAAGCCCAGCCAGACATGGCGCGAGACGCGGCAGCGGTGCGCAAGAAAAAGGAAAAGAAATCGAAGCAGCACCGTCTCAACGACAAAGGATGGATGGAGGGCACTAGAGAGGCAGTCATGAAGGAGTTCATGCCTGCATACTTCGACGTGGTTGACAGAACATGGCAGGAAGCGGAGGTGAAGTTGAAGGATATACTGGCAGTGTTTCACCACCACTTCCCATGGCCGATGAAGGACTGGGAGGAGCCCGCCGTCTTAGTACCCTACGACCCACATTCACCTCCTCCTTCCGATAAAGGCTTGACGCCAGAAGAGGTCGAAGACAAGAGACTACACGTGGAGCGCCAGAATAAGGTAGACACCCGAATCTCATTCGTTATGATGATACTGACAAGGACGTAGCGTATTCGGCGATGGCTAGCGTACCGTTACACCCAGGCAAAACGACGCCGCAAGAAAATGAACACCAACGACCCCACGGACACATATGAGCAGCTGATGATGACCATTCTGGGAATTAAGAAACCGCCGAGAGCTGCGTCTGTCACTCAGCAGTATATGTCCGACGAAGCAACAGAGGTCGCCTCCTACATCGCCGAAAACTGGAAAGGTGCGAAGCCTCCCAACATCAATCAACGAGAGGCCATTGCGCGAAAGCTTTTGGAGAGGCTCCCTAGAGAGAAACAAACGGAGTACTCGACCAAGGCGAAAGGAATAGCGCAGAAGGAAAAGGAGATTTACGAGGAGCGTATCAAGGCGGGACCTTCGAAGGATCCTAACGACATTGCATGGTGAGTAATTGTTGGCACACAGGGGGAAGTATTTGACTGACATTTATGTTAGTGCTGTCGACAACGCCCAGGGCTTTTTGAGTGGCATCAATAAAGGCGTCGAAGAACGAACGCGTTGCGTTGGCTTGTCCATTTTTGCGGGACCTATGGCGCAGTATAACGGCAATATTGGGAGCATAACGTAGGTCGTCCGTTATACGACAATTAACTAGGATTAACATGTTTTAAACAGTGTTACGACGAAGGAAAATCGAGCAACGGTTCCACTTACTTTTGTGGAATGGTATGGGGAGAAGCGATGGGCTGAATTCTTGAATGAATACAGAACGTTCGCCGGCTTATGCTTTACGGATGACGAAGTCGAGGGAGTGAAGATTGCCAGCGCAGGAGTAACATTGACGCAGGAGCAGATAGCGGAGGGCGCCGCTGATACGTTCGCAATGATGAGGGATCCTTTGGCGTCATCAACGAAGGACGACTGCTCAGACTCTGATGATAGCGACGACGAGGACATGCAGATTGGGAGCAAAAAGCGCACTACTCCGCCTTCTCCTGCAATTGTTCCCACCAAACCTAACGAGTCGTCGCATGGGCTGCTCACCCTACCGAACCCTGGACCGTCAGTTGGACTCGAGAATACTGCTAGCGCCGAGATGTCCATCGATACGCCGGGTGAGATACCCGCGAAGAGGCCAGCGGGAGATGATGGCGAGAGTGCGACGCAAAACAAGCGCCCGCGAGGCCCTTGCATCAGCCAGTATGAGCAGGACATGGCAGCCAACATTGCCAGGAACAAGCTTTTGCTGAAGGCATTGGAGAAGGCTTTCACAGAGCGTCTGTCCGGTGATGCTGCACGAGCGCGTGCCGATGCTTTAGTAGCAGAAGGGTGGCTTCCCCCCGAGTCCCCGCCCAAGTCTACTCCTTCACCCACATGACCGAAACCGCGTAAGTCGGTAAAAGGAGGGGTAACGCTACCGACACGCCGATCGTCTCGCTTCAGTCAGATCCCCTTGTTGACGGAGAGAGGCGGTGAGGCTGATCCGCCATCTAGCGAGTCTCCACCGCAGGCGTCTAGGGAGTCTCTACCTCCTCCGTCTAGGGAGTCTCCTCCACCT